AGAGAGCAGCTGAGGACTCTAGATTCATGGAAAGAGACGGACTAAAAGCCAGTGGCCAGGAGGCAGATTTGCAGAATATGCCCTTTGGAGTTATAAATTATTATATATGCCTGAATGGTTTTATGTGAATAGAGAGAAATACTGTTAACTGATGGTACATGGAGGGGATTATAATCATTGTAATGAAACAAGGTGTATGATTTGTTGAATGTAAAACTTATGATCTGCCCTGTAAACTTTCACACAATCCACAATAAAAACCTTAAAAAAAGAAATTAAGAGAACTTCAATAAACATTAATAGAGAGATGTAAAAGATCTAACAGATCAGGCAGTTGAATAAAATAAACGGAGTAAACAGAGCCTGCTGACATCTTTCCTAGAACTTAGAAAGATGCTGTCATAGCTCAGAAAAATCACAGAAACTGGCCAGTAGGAGGATATATGCACTGGGCTGCTAAATGCAAGGTAAATGATTCACATTCCCCAGCGGCTTCTTGGAAACCCTATACAGGGTAGCAGCTATGAATCACCACAGACTTGACAACAACAATAAACCATATTGCTAATTCTTGAGGGTCAATCACTAACTCAAATTAAAACATAAGTCGGTTTGAAACACAAGGTTGGTGCTTCAAGCTCATCAGCTGCTCCTCAGAAACCCTATACAGGGTTGCTATGCGTCAAACTGACTTGGGGGCACTAAACAACAATGTGTGTCTGTGTGTGTGTGTGAGATACAGAGTCACTATGAGTCAGAACTGACTGACAGCACTTAGCAACAACAGAGAAATTAAGGTGAAAATGTTACTACATACTTGAACCTAAAGTAATAATAAAACTTCAAGAATTTAAAACTTCTCCCAAATAAATTTTATTTCCTTCACTACTGCAAAAGAAAATAAGTTGTCATACCCAATGTCCATAAGAGGTGGTTTATCTCGCCCCCTCTTATAACAGAGGAAAAGTTCTGGACTTTTCAGACTTCCATAGTTCAAGTTTGCTTGAAGAGCTGATGGAGTGGCTTCAACACAGGTGTATCCTTCAGGAACTACCTCCCCAACTGTTGTGTTAATAACAGCAATGTCTGTAATTGGAGCTTTAGGTCCAGTCGATTTAGTATCTAAACGATTAATTTCTTGATCCAAAAGAGTAGATGTGTCAGTGAGACCTGCCACAACAAAGTAGTCTGTCACTCTTGGCCCTTTGTCTTCTAGCATGGCTGCCATTATATTTCCTAGAGGAAAAAGAAGACAACAATTAAGTAAAATGCATGTATCCTGACTCACCAAAATTAAAATATCCTGAGTTAATAGTAATCAACTAGTGATCCACATTTTCCAGGAAGATTTATAATCCAATGACCATCATTACATAAAAGTTGGCTTGCGCCTAATGCGCCTAATATTGCCATCTTTACAGCATCGATTTGTCTGTAATGCAAAAATGTTCCTTTCATTTACCTAAGACTCTGTTAAGGAGTCCTGGTTGTTCTAAGAGTTAAACACTTGGCTGCCAACTGCAAGGTCAGTGGTTCAAACCCTTTCATTGCTTTGAGGGAAAAAGATGAATCTGTCTGCTCCTATACGCAGTAAGTCTTGGAAACCCTAAGGAGCAGTTCCACTCTACCCTACAGATCACTATCGGTCAGAACTGGCTCGTTAGCAGTGGATGTCAGTCTCCATTTAGGAATGCTCAAATTATCAGAGAGGAGCTATCTTGCTTTGCTATGAACAACATGCCCAAAAAATATTTTTTTGAAAAACATTCTCTTTTTTTGGGTGCTGGGAAGGGGGCAATATACAAGAAGGGAGAGGCGAATGGAAGAACAAAACAGATGGGAGAACAATTAGACAGGTCTCAATGGGCTAGTGGGACAGAGGTAAAGAATGATGTATGCACAACCTTGGAACTACAGGGCTCTGGGATACAGAGATTGAGACATGGTTGGAATGGGGAAAAGGGGGGAATAATGTTAAGATGCTTGGCTGTCTTTTGAATCTTGGTTTTCCTTGCATTATA